CTGCCGGAGCAGTAAAGAACGAAAATTATGATCGGGCCTTGTCACTGCTTCGGGCGTCGAGGAATACCAAGAGATCCGCCATCAGTCGGCGTCTATACCTCGATCGAAGTTCGCTCGTGCCATTGTAATCGCGATTGCAAGCAGATCTCGTTCTGGAAGAACTTGTGACCGGAAAATTTAGAAATACGTTACATCTGTTCGTCGAATTTTAATTATCGTCTGAAGTTCTCTTCTTCTCTGTTGTATTTCGTCATTTCTAATTTCCGTTTTGTTAATAGGTCTCATAAATTTTCAAAGTTATTTTCTTTAATATTCCATATGGTCATTATGATCATTCACAATGATAATAACAGCGAAGGGACAATTTTAATTCTCTCAATTCGGTGATACGAAAACACGTGTAGACACACGAGAGAGAAAAGATGATTTTTGTTTTTGCGTGATCGATGGATCGCCGACGGGAATGGGAAATGAGAAGGAATGGGAAACAGGCGAGATGGCGGAAACTGCGAAAGTAGAGGCGAGAGAAAGTTCTCGTTTTGCGAGATGCGAGCGCAATTACACCGTGGCGATAAAAGTGTTACTTCGCGCTGTAATTTAGAAATATTTTTACGTCGTTTTGATTTGACCGAGGAAACGAGAACCGCCGAGTAGAGTAAAATCCCCACTTCGCCGTGTAATTTTCGTCCGCGAGTTTCCACCCTGCCACTGTTTATATTCTACTTTCCACTCCGGAGAACGACTCTGCGTTTCTCCCTTCTTCCTCCCCAACCCTTGTCGATAGACATAAAAAACGGAAGGTGTGTTGAGAAACAGTGGAAAGAAACGTTTATCAAGCAGCATGTTCTTTTTCTCGCTTCATCCCTCGCTCGTTCCATTTACGTAAGTAGAAATTTCGAAACGTTTCACGGGAAAAATTTTCACGTCGAAATATCTCTTTTTCTCACCGTTTGAAACTTGAAATTAAGTGCTCGAAAAATTCCCCGAATGGGAGATTTCTATATTCTCGTATACCGAACGCTCCACTCGCTTCGACTATTATAATCTCGTAACTCGTTATTTAAATATCTTCTTGCGAGGCATCCGTTTGATTTTCCACGTTTTAGCATTCCATGATTCTCCGAACGAAGAACACGTTAAACGAGCCTTTCCCATTTTATTCTCGCCATTATTACACCTTGTCGTCAAGCTCGTGAAAAATTTCGGAATTTTCATCTAGGAGCTGGGAGAAATTTCGTCCAAATGAATATCTCGGCGACAACGCGACTTTTTTTTATCACTAGACTCGCGGCGAGTTCCAATCTCCAGCGATATACATTCGAGAGAGAAGCAACAAGGCGTGCTGATTAAGTCAGCTCAATTATCCGACGATTCTTGGTATCGCGGGATATCCCTCTTTTTTTTTTTTTTTCTTTAAAGTAGAAAGTTTCGGTCGAACGGGCGAATCTATCGGCTTTAGGAAAGTTGGCTGGCGGTGGCTGGCCGGAGTCGGAGGCCAGGCAACGGTGAAGCAGGAACGTCGACGCGGGGTCCTCTCGTCGCCTAATTGAATGGCATTTTATTTAGCACAGTTCCCCGCACTCTGGATAGCCGCCATTTACCTCAATTACGTAATTCACCGTACACAACCGACCGCGGCAGCTACCCACCATAGCAGCATTGCATGGTGATGGCCATACCGATCCATGATAGTGGTGGTGGTTGCTTGTGTTGGTGGTGGCGGTGGTGCTGGTGGTGGTCAACTGATGACACGTGTTTGCGCTACCGCCGCCGTGCAATTAGCCCCCCAATGTAATTTCGCGCTGTAAGAGCGTGCCACGCTCTTTTGGCCTAGTACCGTACCTGAGGGCGCATCGGTACCCTCGTATTACCAAGAGGGAAGTGATTTTCTTCGGGAGACGTAGAAAAATTCGATTTTAAGTACTCCACCGCCGGCACTCCGATGGTTATTTTTGCATCCGGTTATAACCGCCGATCGATGAAACGGATCCTTTAAACGAACACTGGTTATCCTCGAGCCTTTGACCTACTGGTTAAAAATCCTCCTCCAACGTCATTTACTCCCTTTTGCTCCTGCTAAAAGGAGGGATGCAGATGCCGGAGAGTGGCCGTTAACGATCCGAAGATTTTCTGAATCGTTTGTCCGAAACACTCATCATTTCATACCGGTGAATATTGATTGTTAAATTTTTTTATTTCATTTAACATCGTAGTTTGTCTATTAAGAAGATTGTAAAATATAAAATATAAAGGAATGCAAGATTTCACGTATGCAAGATATATACACGTTGTTTACGTGGAAGTCAGTTCTCCCATAGTTTTCCATCTCGATTGGTTATTGTGCAATTAATCTCGCCGTTGTCCAGGCAACCGCATCAGGTATAAATATATTCGTGTAATTGAAGCATCGAGTAGGTGTGCGCCGCTGGAACGTGATGCAATGTTAATGAACGGGATATTATCCGCCAACTAGTGTCATTGCGAGATGATACACGCTGCAGAGCCGGTAATTGTGCTGCCCAGCGATGCTGATTAGGTGTAATTATCATTCGGCCGAAGAAATGTCCTCGTGTTAGCTGTCATGGCAACACTATCCATCAGGCACTCCGTCTCTGCTCCCGATTTCCATCTTGTTCTTTCTTTCTTTCTCGTTCCCTCATCTCGCTACGATCGTGATTAAATCCCCTGTGCACTTGTGCATAATTAAAAATTACGATCAGTCGATTACGGTTGGCCAAGCTCGCCAGAGTCATCCGTAGCCTAGGAGTTTACCTTAGCGAACAATGGTTCGTTGAAAACACGAGAGAGAGAGAGAGAGAGAGAGAGAGAGAGAAATTGCCGACGGGGGAGGATGAAAAAAATAACGTCAATTCTGGGAAGACGATTAGGAACGATCAGATAAGGGGGCTGACTGGCGAGGAACGTGTCGTTTCCCAGCCGGCTCAAAGACTTTCGACATAATTAGACGCTTGCTGTCGCCCTGATTTTGTCAGCTTTAATCTCGCCCCGTAACCAGAGCCAATAACGCGCGTCCCATCTGCAATCGCGTAACGCTATGGCCGTTCAATGGGTATTTCGAGAGATCGCGTTTGATAAAATATCGGGATTCGCGCGATAAAGTGCAAGCTGGTGATTTATGGCAGCATTTTCGACGTGTGAAAATGTTACGGAATATTTACGGTAAAAGCTCGATCGTTTCCGCGTAATGCATCATCATGTGCAATCACTTTGTTTTCGCACACGAGGAAAAAAGATACTTTATTCTGAAGTATTTTATAGATGCTGATGTTAAACAGGAAGAACAGTTCTCGAGGAAGAATGCGAATACGAACGAAGGTTTTTAAAATATGAAAATATGATCTATAGATAGAAACGACTTGGACAAACTCGATTCTCTGACATGGTCGTGAAATTGCAGGTGAAGGAAGATTGTTCGCATAGGAATTAATCGCGGGGACAGAGGAAAGAGACAAAGGTTGTTCGTGGGCGAGCAACCACGCTTCGGATTATCCGCGAACGAGATCTGATCCTTTTCCGCGCCTTCACCTGTCTGCCTTGCCTGCATTCGCACAGATACGATCAGTAAAAAAACCTGGCGCGTTACGAAATTTGCTCGCCGGTTGAATCTTTTTTCTTTCTTTTTTTTCTCCATCGCGTTCGTTTTACAAGCTCCTGCATAGCCGGCGCGAAATTATCCCGATAAAAAATTCTATTACCTATAATGCGACCACCGCGGCCAGATTAGCATCTTTCGAGGAAAATTTAGGTCACAGGACTCGACGAGTCTTGTTCCCATGCCTTTCCACACTGTGCAGTTTTCAATGTACAGTTCTAACTACTGTCTCGCGAAAATTTAGAAAAATGTCAGACAAACGAAAGAAGTAATTTTTGGAGGGTGAAGAATTTTTTCACAGCTGTCATTAATTTGGGTATACTATGCAATGGATTCGAGGAAACTTTGCACTGTGAGCGATCTTAATGAAAAATTAGCATCGAATCGGACGGAAGGCTTCCTTTGAAAAATGGAACCGAATAATTAGCAATCGACTTGCGTGTACATGAGAACGGGAAAACGTGTCGTTCGAGGTGCTCCACCTCCAACACCGGTCCACTCCTTTCGCGGTGGGTTAGTGGGCGGAGCCAAGGACGTCTGTTGCCAAACTGTCACGTTGACGTTAACGTTCGATTGTCGTTTTGCGTTGTACCTTCGCGACTTCTTGTCGTCTAAATGCGACGACAGAGGCCAGAAAATCAAACGAACACGACAAACACGATGAGAAACGAATTACACCAGTTACTCCAATTTTGGTCATAAATAATTTCCAACTAATTTGATCGAATCCTATCGTTTCAGGATAATCGTAAAATAGAAATCACCAAAAGTCCAAGAAAGAAATCGCAGCAGCAGAGGCTTCACTCCGAACGTAACAAAAAGCTACGTGCGATCTTTCGACAGGGGAAATTCACTCGCGTCCCAGATGTCAGAGTCACCCTCAACCCTCGATTTCCGTCGAATTGGCGGTCGATAGGGGAACGAGGGAGCCTCTGGTCGACGCGGCGGACCGAAACTCCGCGCTCCATGCATACAAGCGTCGCTGGTCGGGCCTGGTGTCTCTGGCTTTCTTTGCCGGAGCTGGCTATACCCCCGACGGAATCTGTCCGGAGTAGTAGCAGCGTAGTACGCGCACGACGAACGAAAAGGTTCCCCGGACAGGTAGAGAAAACACCTCCACGAACGAAGTTGCCCCGAGGGTGTCGGCAGACGGTGGGCCTGGTCGGATTTCGTCACCGCCCACACGGACACCATAATGGCCTCCGTGCAGCCAATCGATCGCCTAGACGTCACAGTCACGAAGTGGGGGAATAGTGAATCGGCCAATCGGGCGGCCCGTTAACGGCCCGCGTGGGCGTGTCCTTGAGTGGCGCCACGACGGCAACTTTCGGAAACCGTGCACCGGGCTCCGGGGAGAGGCTCCGGCTTCATTATGTATCATTATACCGGTCCGCGCCGCGCGGTGTGCACTGCAGTTACTGGGCCAGGCGCGCGTGTGTACTTTTCTCTCTTCGTCGTCTGTCGGTCGTCATCGTCGTCTTCGTCTTCTTCTTCTTCTTCTTCCTTCCTTCGCTAGCCGGCTAGTCGTCGTAACCGTTTTCTCTCGTCGACAACCACCGTTGGCCGAGCCACGATGCTCATCGGTGTCGAATAATCACGGCATACGCGCGTGTGGAAAAAGCACTTGCTGGGTGCCGCTGAACGAGAGCGAGCGTGCGCGCGCGCGCACGCCTCTGTGTCATCGGCGAGACGTACAATTAAATCACGCAGTTCGCGCGAGTGTACTGCCGCACCAGGACCACAGCTCCGGTCGAGAGATTACCGGGTCCCCGTCGGAGAAGCCGCAGCAAATTTCTACAGCGTCGATCCTCGGATATCCAAAGTGTTTTAGCTCCGAACACTCCGAGGGGACCGTCGTATCCCGCGGATTTCCGCTCGATATCGCGACGTATCCCCGCGGTGGTGCACGACCAAGACGTGATTAACAGTGACGATTGTTCGAACGGCGTTGGAAGAGAGGTTGAAAGCGCGAAAGCGCGCTCCGTCGCGCAGTGTGAAGAACCATCGGTCCAATGGTCGATTCAGCTGATCGCGAAGAACGTTACGTTACGCTAGATCGAGCTGACGCGTTCTACGGCTGTTGCGAAACTACCTGTGCATGACTTTGGTGAATCTTTGCGAATCTATCAGATTGGATATTCAGTTTTGTGAAGGCTACGCGGGTGAAGTGCTTAGTGATCTAACTGTAACCGATCTGACTCAGACTACCCGACCAAGGATTCGGCAACAGTGCATCGATGAAACACGGTGAGAGAAACAATTGACCAGAGCCAGTCTACTAATTCGTACTACAATTTGTTCCAAAGTGACAGTGAAAATCACCCGAATCAACAACCGATCGTTCCGATAAAGAGAGGAAGAGAGAAAGAAAGAGAGTCAAAGAGATCTAAATGTCGCCTCTTCGTACGGAATTACTATCGTGCCCTTAGTCGGACCACTCAATCCAGCAGTGACCAGTCGCGATTCGTGAAACAGAGGCCCCAAGATTCGGGCCCCGTACGGTGTTCGCGCGACGGCGGCGGCGACGACGTCGTCGGCGAGTTTGTCCGCGAGAACCGTAGGCTGTGGCGGCGGCATCGACGTCGCGACTAAGGTGGAGCGTCCGGGCAGCACGACGACGCTCAACTTCACGGACCTGGGGAGCCCATTCGGGGCGGGCGACCCCTGTCCGTCTAGTACCCCGACCCCGAACAGTATGTCGGGAGGCGGTGGACCGTCCGGAGGCGGCGGTGGCGGCGGCGGCGGCGGTGGCGCGGGTGCCGCGGGCGCTGGTTCCGACATGGAACAGCATCTTCATCACACGGGGCTGGGCTCGGTGACGCCTGGACCACCCGGTGGTAACGGCGGCGACAGCACCACCTCGAGCACGCCGGTCTCGCAAAGCGGCAAATCGGCGTTCATCGAGCTGCAGCACAACAACCTGTACAATCCCGCCAGTCTCCGCGGTGGTTATCCCGGAGGACACAATGTGCCCGGTGCTCATCAGTTCTCGCATCAAGTCGGCGCGCTAAGTCACCAAACGTCCGGGCCGGGCAGCGGGAATCAACAACACGCGGACGCGGGATTCCCCAGTCCTAGGTCGGCGCTAGCCGGATATCCGTTCGCGCCCATGCACCAGCACAACGCCTACGGATATCACCTGGGATCGTACGCGCCCCAATGCCCCTCGCCGCCCAAGGACGGTGAGTACCCCAACTGTATGTATTCGCAGACTTTTTTATTCCTACTAATATAGAATAGAGAGATAGTCGACCTAGTTCTGCTCCTCGCTCTCGGGAAATTGGTGCCGATTCGGTAAACCTAAAGACGGTTCTCTGTCTAGAGAATCTAGCGGATGATTTCGCAATCCTATTTTGTTACCTCGCACGAGAGTGCTGATTTCTTCGGGACGAGGAGGCTGTCGGAAGGTTCACGGCGAAGATCGCCGCCGTGTTTTCTGATAATTTTCGATAAACGGCGGCTATAGTTTAAATTGACAGATTCACCGTGTACCTTCGATTTCTTTCAAAGTATCGAAACGACCGAGATTAAGATCTGTAGTTCCTTAAATAATGTACAAGCAATGTATCGAGAACACTCTAAAGAACCATCGTGTCAGTCGTATAACCATCGCTGTTGATGTATCCGACGATACATCGAGTTCCTCCGGGTATGATACTCCTTCACTCCCCGAGAGTCGGATGGTCTGATCCCGCCGGTAGTATTCCACTTAATGCGCGCCACACTCGCGCGTCTCCTCTACACTCGTCACTGTTCCAATACATAATTCATCGATACTTACATAGAAACGACGGTGCAAGTGTTTTCAACAGAAGTCGGTTACTCCATTATCTAATCTTGCAACGTTCCCCATTTGGGTCACGGAACGTTTCTCATTTGGGTCGGCATCACGATCGCGCGAACGCGCGGCGATTGAAATCGCGAAGCCGTTGCTCTTGCTCTTCGTCGGCGAGCCTCGTCGATTTCGCTTGTGGTGTGGCCAGGCGCTCGATGAAAAAAGAAACGAAAACGGAAGAGAGGATCTAGAGTAGCAGGTAGTGGGCTCCGGTCGACGGCCTGGACAGGCACAATAACGTCGAGAAGCGGAATAAGATATACGACTAAGAAAGAGAATCCTCTCGAGACCCGAAAAAGTCCCGCAAAGCGGCTAACGAACGAAACAAAAAGCCCCCTCGGTCTGAATGAGAATAGTCGCGGAACCTACCTCTGTCCTTGAGGGACGCCGCTAGATATTCAAACAACCAGATACGCAACTGTTTCCTCATTTCTTTTCGCATCTTTCTCGCCGTCTCTTCCACTTCTTTCTCGGTGTCTCTTCGTGTCGCGAGATTTTCACCACGTACGACTGGACGCAGTCAGCTAAATTCAGACAAACATTGCGATACCGTGCGCCACGCCTTCATTTCATCTACTTGTTAGCTCCTTCTCTTCCGAGACAATCTTTCAACTTACACTCGGGCATAATTACTTGTCGTAAAACGACAAAATATACAACAGAATACAACATCTTCGTTAGCATCGTTTATGTAAATGCGAACAATTAAATACGAACAGCTAGATACGACACGATCGTTTTTCATTTCTTCCTAGGTAGATATTTTCCTCTGCCAACTTTTTTTCAACTCCGTATCGATGTTGCGACGTCTTGTCTCGTACGAAGTTATTTATGTGTTTTCCACTTCGCGTTTGAAGCGAAGGGAAAAGTTCGCAAGACGTTTTAAATGCTTTCTATCAACGGAAACTTCCTTGAAAACCAACTGTGTGTCTTCTAACTTTTCCCGGGATTCTCCGTTCCGAGTGTAAAAATAGTTAACGCGACACAGTGTTACCTCTGGATTTCAGAATGCGCGCGAGAGGCTGGGAAATATTAGCAATTTCATTTACCAACAAGTTCGCACAATTTTTTGTGTTATTATGACAAGTGAAATGGATAAACAAGTGGAACGGCATCGATCGATCGCTAACTAACCTTGTTGTTGCAACGACGCAGGGGAAAAGAGAACAACATGTTTGCAACGTCTTTAGAATCGCTGGGAATACGTACGAGTGTCGCTGATGAAGCTGTCAGCCGCGAATCGACGGACACGAGGCAACGATATCCCAGGCCGGCGTCGATAGAGACGTGTAATATTTAATTCTTTACAGAGAGAGAGAGAGAGAGAGAGAGAGAGAAAGAGAGAGTAAGCATTCGCGACACGAAAGTGACACAATAAAAATCCTAAATTAATTGGAGTGGAATTTGCACGAGTTCTTCTTTTTCCTATCCGCGGCAACGCTGCTATAAGTTTCTGTTCCTGTCTTCCCTTAAGGGGACAGTCGACAACCCCCTGCGAACCCTTTCCGCCGCGTAAATTAATAATGACCGGCGTTCTTCTTCTTTTCCACCTGTCTTTTACCCCCGTGAACGCGCACGTTCCAACGTTTCTGCATTATGGAAAACCGCCGCAGGTTCTCGCTCGTTTGGAACCACCCCTTCGCGTTAGTTCGAGGCACTGGCGTACCGGTTGTAGATAATCTTAGGCGAGTTTGTCGAAAATTGCTAGGAAAATAGAGAAAAAAAAAGAGGAACAGGAAGATGAGGAAAAAAAGAGTATGCGACGAGGAAACATATGAAAAAAAAAAAAAAAAAAGGATTCGTCCCCTCCGAGATATTCCCAACGTTGCATAGAAGAATCCAGAGGAACGATCGGGGGCTTCGACTCTCGGCAATTTCCCCTATCCCATCGGAAAAAAAAAAAAAAAAGAAAAAACTGTGAATGCTTGACCATCGACGACGATCGGAAGGAACAAACGCGTTTTCCAAGGGTCTGCCCGATCCCTCGGAATGGACGAGCGCGATGCGCACTCACGAATGGGTTGCACGATTCCGCGGAATCGTTCTGATTATAGGTCATTTTCTCTCATTAGGATGACAATTTCTTCGTGCTCGGTTTTCATGAGCCATTAGAACGGCTCCCCAGGATAAAGCTATGACGAGTTTCGTTCGCGTAAGAACTGGATTAGCCGGCTAGAAAATTTCACTCGATAGAAAGATAGACCCTCCTCTCCCTTCCCACCCACTTTTCCCACTGACGAATGATGCGATGAATCGCGATCATCGTGTCGTAACGTTACGTCGATCTAATTTCACTAAACGGCGTTTACGATAAACCAGAATTGATTTATTCGAGCGATCGCGACGCGTTGTTGCGTCGATCATCGATCGCTCGCGCATTATTCAATCGTCGAACGCTTTTCTTCTCCTTCCATCCGAGCCATTCACCATTTCCTTTTCCCGCTTTTTGCCCCGGCGTTGCATTCTACAACTGAAAAAGAAGCGCGCGCGTTCTTCCGCGTGGTAATGCGAGATTCGTCGTAATTGTACCAACGATAATTGGCTAATTCGAACGTATCGTGTGCCGATCGTCGGTGATTAATCGCGTTACAAATAAGCTCGTTCACACTCGCGCGACAAATTGCGACGAAAGAATTTGCCTCGTCGCTCTTTGTTGCTCGTTTCATCCTGCCGCGGGTTCAGGCACGAGGCCCCGATGAAAGCGATTGAATTAATTAAATAATAAATAATCGTTTTAGAATCGCGATCGCGAGTTAATTACCAAGGAGCACGCCATTGTTTGCACATCCTCCTCGGGGCATTTTGGCCACCTGCCGCGTGTCGCTCCTTTCAATTACCTTTCTGACAAAATACCCGACACCTCCGATTTAATACCTTTCTCAAACAGAGCTTGGAAAGGACGGGAAAAATATTTGCAATGTTTGAAATATCCTCGGTCGGACTTGGCAAAGTTTCTCTCATTCGACGCTCTGGCTCGAATCGCCTTTAACATTTCGCTTCGAGCGATTTCCTCAAGCGCAATGAGTTGCCCGTTTTTTACATTTTTATAAAGTTGATTTCGATTTTTCATTCAACCATCGTACGACGTTCCGTCTTGATGTGTCAAGACACGAATCACTGTTACGTGTTTCATGTGATCGAACAATTGTCTCTGTACTCTCTTGAGTATTACTCGAGTTTATCTCTCCCGAATGTTGGGCTGAAGAAAAGAAAGAGAAATAGAAATTTCGACATCTATCCAAACTACTTTTCTCTCGACAAATTAAAGAAACGTAGCCACGTAGTCCTCCACACAGGATTAACGAAGTCACTCGACCAGTCATCAGCGAGAAGAAGATCGCTCATCGTGTACACAATCGCGTACCATCCGATTTCACACTCGACGATGCGCAAACAGTGTATGCTTAGGTGGTAAGCCGTGTATCAGCGAATAATCTCATTGGTTGCGACAAATGAACCAGCCATTAACGTGGTTGTTGGTCGAGCCTCCTCTCCGTTGCTTTGTCATCGACTAGTACACGTCCAGTCGCAACAAAGTAAACGGTCCTTGGGGACCAGAATCCAATTAGTGTGGCTACCTTTACCCAACTCTACATTAGTCACTGAACCTAGTCAGCGACCAACCACCGGCCAAATTAAACCGGAACGGTTCAAAGACAATGCGCCCTTCGTATCGAAGAGAGTTTCTAGGCCTACGGTGATGGATTAGGTATTAAACGGTTGTTTTCACAAGGATTAGGAACACACCGACCTGGAACACGCCTCAATCGGCCGACAGATCTCCAAAGAAAGGACTCCAAGCCTTGGTTGCTACAACTTGGAGCTCCTTCTTCTTCTTCTTCTTCTTCTGCATCATCGTCTTCTGAATCTTCTCCTTCTCGCAGAGTCTTGGAAGATTTTGCACGGAAGTCGTGTTTTCTCTGGCGTAGATACATCCGTAGATATCGTGCGGCTGCCACTCAACCGGATCCTGGTTCGTCCCCCAGCTGACAATGAGAAAAGTAGGGTTCGAATGGTCGTCACGCAAAGTGCACCGGCCGCGGCTAGCTGCTACGATCCACTACGATAAATTACTATTCGTCTCTAACTTGGCTGTTTTTATTTTCCACTCAGTGCAACAATCGTTTGGTGGATCCCACTGACAGGATTAAAGTTTGGCGCGACAGGAGAGACGTCGTCGCGATTCGATAGCGTCAGCATCGACAGACATTTATTTTTTTTGAACAGCTGGATCGCATGGTCGTGTGCACTGCGTTATTAGACCCGAAGTTTCTTTCTTTCTCTTTGTTACCAAACAAAAAACAACGCGCGTATTTTTCAATATTTCATTTTTCGAACTTCGTTTCCAATATAAAAATAAATCCCCGTTACGGAATGAGAGATACTGTCGATTTTATTGAAATTATTCAGACAATCTGCATCGACTTTCCAAGTTGTTACAAATAATTATAATGTTGGTACACAATTTTTCTAGCATTTAGCTAAAAGTACAAATCGTTAAGATTTGTCGTCTGAGATCAAATCTGAAATCACGAATACGCCGCTCGTGTGCATTTAGCGCGGCTCCTCGCGGTCCGTGACCAAACGATTTTTCGCTGGATCCGTTGCGCGGAATCGTTGATCGTCGGCGAAACATCCGAGGCGCTGCTCTTCCTCCCGATGAAACGCGCGTTAATTATAACACGGTTGCTTTCCTACCTGCATCACGCCGATGCATAGGAAAGCTAAATTGCCGCTTGGTCGACGATTATTCGCTGTTGAAATAACAGGTGACCGCGGATCGATCGATCGCGTACACGCGAAAATCGGGAAGGGAACGCGCGCGTAAAGGAAACAAGGAACGCACGACCGTTCGCAAATGAGCCGCGCGAATTACGCTAAAGTAGTAGTTTCGCCGCGACCCGAGCGGTTTTCAGCGACCGCTTTGCATACACTGGCATCGTTAATGACTCCTCTCGCGAGCTCTCGCGAACGCGCGGGCATTCCTCCGAGAAAAATTTATCGTAAAACCGTCCATTCGTCCCTTTCGGTTTCTCTTACGGTCTCGTCGGGTCTTCTGCATCGTACCGTTTCATCGCGGTTCTGCCGTATTATAGGGGAATTTTTACAAAGATCGATTCCAAGCAGAGAACCACCAACTTTGGATCCTTTCGAATGAAATAAACAAACACAAACACTGAAGATGAACACATTGAAAAGAAGATTTCTCTCGTAATCGATCGAGGCACAATTCCTTCCAAATGGGAGCATAGCAGCCGAAAGCAGTCAAAGCAGTAGCGAATGTACGTATGAGAATGCACGGAGATAACGAAACGGCCATTATTCCTATTCGAAGTGAGGCGATATATTAGGTGACACGATGGCTCCGCCGACCCGGCACGATAAAACCGATAAAACACCGAATAAGCGTTATCGCGTTCAAACCTGACTGGAAATCGTGTAGGTTAATGTATTCGACGATACCGGCTCACGACAGCGCAAAAAAACCGTCTTGTTAAACGAAGGACACCGCCTTCTGGAAGAATCCTCCGCCCTGATCCAAGGGCCCTGCCAACTCCTTCAAACACGCGACTGCGTATAATATCCCGGCAACAACTAGGCAGGTACTAGGTAAAAATCAAAAACAGCCGCAGGGGTCGCTTGTTAATATCTGCCATTTTACGCGTAATCAGAATCTCCGTGTCGTTTCGCGATCGATCTTGAAACTCGTTGATCCACGGGTCAGGCCTCCACGCCCCCGTTGCTGGTGACACGGCCAGCAATAAATCATGCGTGCATACACGTACACACGCGAATCGTATCGTATGCATATCCAAATCGTGTGCTGTAAATTTCATAAACGAGAAAGATAGCGAGGTGGTACGAGCTTGGTAGTTAGAAATTTCGAATTACTAATTCAAACGCCCGTGTAAGTATGATAATCTTCGTTGTCAACGTCGCCGAACGTCTTCGTTCTGTTTTCACCCGGCCCGAAACGGAGCCACGCAATGTCGATTCTTTTTTACGCGCACGAGGGTGTGAATTTTCCATGGTGACAGTTTCCCTCGATCCGCGCCACGCTGGATGGAAAATGACATGGTGGCTGGCCTGTTTGGACTTCTAAATGACTGTGTTGCCGTTCAAGGATTCACACCGCGCGCCGCATTACGCTACATTGTAATTAGGGTATAAACATAATGGCGCGATCGTACGTACGATAGCGTTCGCGCGGTCTGGCACGATGCGTTTATTTAGTCGGTGCGTAATTATTCGATGATTAATTTATAACAATTTTTTTAAATTAATTACACCGCGGTTAGCACTCCGATATTGTTCGCCCGCGATAACGATCACACGCGGCAAATTACACCGAGATTAATCGTGATTTATCGCGGCTACCTACGCCCGAACCTCTGTCGCGATCTTCGACAAGCCTTTCATCCTTCTCCTCATCCTTCGATCCAACGTTCGACTAATTTCTCCTTCTTTTCCCTCCTTTTTTTTTCCTTTTCTTCTACACACACCGTTTTGTAAAACGGGCAGTTTTCGATTCAGCAAATTGACAACAGTTCGCGTTATCAATCTGAAACTCGTGACTTCGAGTCGCTCGAAATTACACGCTTGATCGTTCGAATCGAGTTTCGTTTTAGGTTTCCGTTTAAATTTCTCTTTAGTTCGTACACAACCGGTGACGAGGATTCTGAAAGTTGATGTTAGGGTGGTGCATGTTCGCAGACCTCTCGCCATTGGGTGACAAGGGTGGCAGCCTGGTGGACGAGTTGGGCGGCGGTGGCGGCGGTTCCTTGAGGAACGGCAAAGGCAAGAAGATGAGGAAACCACGGACGATCTACAGCAGCCTGCAGTTGCAACAGCTCAACAGGCGGTTCCAGAGAACGCAATACCTCGCACTACCAGAAAGGGCGGAGCTCGCCGCCAGTCTCGGACTAACGCAAACACAGGTCAGTTTCCTCTTCATTTCTTTTTTCCCCCCAATTTTCCGTCGCACCCAAAGTTTCTTTAATTCTTCCTTCCTTCTTTTCCGCGATCAATCCTCTTTCACGGAAGCACTAATCCGTACGACGTACAGTGTTCTCACGTGCTGTGCATCTCGTCGTCGTCGTCGATGAGATGATGAACGTTCCACTCGTCACGCGAATCAACAACGAGGCGTTTTACGTCTTGGAATCCACTGTCTTCTTTCGTGTTACCTTCCACCAATTAAACGCAGTTCCTATGAAAATTTCATTCGGTACGAGCGAATTCAGCTTCGTACGTTGCTTCTAAATTCCTCCGGAAGGGCTGTGACGAAGAACATCGACCCGGTATTGCGTTCGAGTGGGATCAAATTGCAAACGATTCGCTTCAATTAATTGAATTTATACACTAGATATTTTTCATCCGGTTTTTCGGAGAATACGATTACACGCATTCCTCGAGTTTCGCAACGATCCGTTCTGAATCGCCAGGATAAATTGCATTCCACGGAATCGCATTCCTAAGCGTGATTAGTTTTTATTCGTAACGATCGGTAGATGATTTCTGCTGGAGGAATGTCTTTGAAGCATCGACGAAGATGCAAAGTCAAAATCCACTACATCTTCCGAAAATTCGATGGTACAGCGAAAATCTTTCTCTCTCTTTTTTTGTTCAAATTAGCCCACTATTTTTCTCCGACCATGTTAGTTTTCTGCGAATTTCCATGGGATATTCGCGACAGATCGTCGTGTTTCGCGTCCACCCCTCGAAACCACGAGGAGATCCTGTTGCACGGAGAGTCCAGCGTAACAGGAGCCTCGATGGACGGCATCTGTCAGCATTATCGGCACAAATGACTTTACTAAATCACCGATCCGCCACGCCCTGGACACCAGGGGGGATAGGGTTGCCAGTACTGGCACCGTGTAGCGTATCAACAACGCGGAGGAAACCAGCCGCGGACTACTAACGAGACGATCGTAAATTATCCCGGCAGTGGCCAAGTTTTTCGGTTTTTCACGCTGGACATTGGCCATAGACTTTCCGCTAATTATCCAGTTCAGTTTCCAATTAACGATTTATTAGGGGGCCGATGGTCAAGAGTTAATTGGCGTCGTGCCTCCTCGGAACCATGACATTTCTCTGCAAACGGTCGCACCGTTTCCAATTAACGATTTATTAGACAGCGCGATCGCGCCTCCGACCTAATTGAAACGCGAGGTCGTGCCCGCTCGCGAAATCTTCATTTTCGATATCGCCTCCCGTTCGCGATTTATCCCATTACGCCCGCGTCGAGAGCTCGATTCTCTTAAATCTTGCGATCACGTGATTTTTGCGAAGTCGTTCAGGTTCTGTTCAGTTTTGCGACTCGCCGATTGAACACACCGGCGCTCTAATTAAGCCTCCGGCTACTTTCGATCTGCAAAAGAAGCAAACACTGACAGGGATTCATCGATGCTGGCATAGAAACACCGTAGCCAGATTACAGGTGATGAGCCGACAAAGTTAGAGCCGTTTCGCAAATTTTAGGAGTATCTTTGCCTTTTGTTAAATGTCGTCATGTGTCGCGTCATTTCCAAATTGTCCAAGCTTCACTGGTTTCAGACTCTCGGTACAAATTAATCTAATTATTTAGGAAAGAAATAGCAACGATGCCTGTCGCATCCTGATATACTAACCCATGGTTTACCGCCGGCAGATATTAAATATGTCTAGAATAATAGCCCTGATTTCATCTATAACAGAAATTGACCCCAAATTGATTTACTTGTGCCCGATCCCTCCCCAGGTTCAATGGATGTCAAAAGGCTGGAGGTATTTTCTCATAGGTACACACATCGTGACACGTAACTGCGTATCGCGTAATCACGGGATAACTGGCTGTCGTAGGTTGCTGATGTCGTCGCAGGGGGTCCCGGACCGGATAATTTCATTAGTCTGCGCTCCGCGGGAGCTGTTCCCCTCTCTTCTTCTCGTTCAGAGAATCGAGCTCGACGCAGCCTGATGAGTAATCGCGGCACCGTGTCAGGTTGTTTGCAAAATCACACGGAACAGAGCATTCTGCCTCGTTGATTCTCAATAGAGTGAACATCCAATAGGAACGTTTCTATTTCTGGCTTCGAGTTGTTACTATCAAGGACACTCGTCGAAACTATTCAATTATGTCCAACGTTCGTGTTTATGCTGTTGCAAAATCTAAAAAGGAGAAAGAACTTCTCCATCTAGTGAAAATTAGGAAGAACTTTCCGGACAACCCCAATACAAAGTTATTAGTGAAAATGATCGACACACGGATTAGCATCTTTTCAGCTTTTTGCATATTTCGTTTCCGAACGGAAACACATGTCATTTTCAAGCGTAATTTGTGGAAAAGTGTCATCCCTCTCCTTTCGTTGTAGAACTCAAATTCATGAAATTCGCAAGTTAGGGATTTGCTTCGGGCTTCACACAAATTGCTATTGGGACTTTTAACGTGGAAAGTTTTCAAGTCTATAGGTGTAGTTTAAAGGGCGAAATCCCATAAAAGGAATTATTAATACAGAGACTTTTGTTCTCGTCGAATGTACGGAATTTCGAAACCTTGACGTTTCTTTATTACCAACTGAATTTCTTCCCTGCACTTTCAACTACAAAACGTCCAACTTCCTGAATTATCTTAATTTGAAAAACGAGCACTCTTGCAGAGAGAAAACTATTGTATTAGGACAAGATCTCTGTCCCAGTCAAATCTGTATTCTCAGAATTCTCGAAGATTTCCAAGATTTTTCAAAGCTTGCTGTTCGCGAGGAGGAAGGGTAACTTTTGACAAGCTTCTCGGCGAATCACGCTCGACGCTCGACGCACACCGCGAGAGCTGCGCGGCGCTGAATCGCCATCGGTAGCTGACGCCGAAGAAGAAGCAGCTCGCGGCCGGTGCATCTCTTCAGGGTGCACCGTGTATAATCTGTAATCGGCCAATCAAGGCGTTCGAGCAAGCGCCTCTGCCTGCTCCGTTGGCCCTGCTACCGTCGCATCGGGTTTCTTGTCATCGCCAGCGCAACATGGCGCCTACAGAGAGAGCCTTCAGAGACTCTTCCATCTTCCCTTCGTCTGCTGGTCTCCTCCTCCTTGCTTCGAGGCCGCTTCGTCTCCCTCTGTATGTCGTCGTCGTCGTCGTCCTCGTCGTCCCTTCTTCGGCGTCTTCTTATCCGCGCCTTTCCCTCTCCCTCTCACCCTTTCGCCTCTCTCTCTCTCTCTCCCCCTCCCCCTTCCTCCTTTTTCACGTTTCTCTTTTGGTTTGCTCGATGGTTGTTGTTCGACTTCGCTACGGAAAACGACGAAGACGATGCGAAAACGAAGAAGAAGAGAAAGAGGAAGAGGGAGAACGGAGAGAAGTGAGGCAACGCGTCTCTTTTTCTTCGGGGCTTCAATTTGAGAACGTGGTAGCGCGTTCGTGCTGCCACACAGGCAGAAAGAACGAGAAAGAGGAAAGGAGAGAGGAGCGGAGAGAAAGGAGGGGAATATGAACAGGGAGTAGTACTTGCTACACGCGAAGTACACATCGTCACGACGGTGGAAACGTGTATGTGCAAACGGGATAGACACGTAGACGCGGCTACATAGATACCAACACGACCGTCTGCGTTCCTGCCACGTACCTTGGGCGTGGTGGTTCCTTTTTCTTCGTCTTCGCCGACCAACGTGGTCGATCTCTCCTCATTGGCCCTGGGAATGCCAACGCGTCGAAACGAGATTCGAAAGTCGCGCACAACCGAGGGAAGAACTGCACGCCGAGTGAATTCGAAATCTGAATGTTGCCTCTACCCCCCCGAGACTGGCGGACCCGCTCGAGATTCGATCGAAAATTCGTTCGCAGGTTCGCTCGATGTTCATACAGACCTCACGTGAAAAATTTGTGTGTCTGTTAAATCCATACGAACACTGTAGGTCCAACGTCCTTCGTACGATGTTCGTCTAAAACTCAAGTTTCAAAGTTTATTTAAAGTGAACGAATTTTCACAAAAAAATTCGTCCGATTGTTAATCTCTTGCGTTGGAATGACGTCAAGAATTGTTTTATCCCAAATTGTAACAATTTCTTAGTCTTATGTATATTATAAATGTAACCCAGGCAAAATGATTAGTTGATTGCTTCTCAATAGTTTCCATCCAGCGATATCGTACGGACGAGTTCAAAAGAAAAAGAAAGCGACGAATAATATGTATACGGTTCGGTCACTCGTTATGGTCCGCGAACCAGTTGCCAGCGCAGGCGGTTGAAATTCACCTTAAGAATTATCAAACGTCCAACGCCAATAGTCAGCTGGTATTCTAGGGAAGATTCGTCCAAGGTTTACTCAAGGGTGCGTACACCCTTAAGGCCTTGTGAATTACAGCGGCTCTCTAAGTGGTGATCGAAAGCTACGCACACTTGGATCATCCGCCACGCTTCCTGTTATTTATTATTGAAAGAGCCATGAGAGACCTAGACGGTTCTCGATATCGATATCACGGTGACCGGTGAACGATCGAGTCGGGCTACCTCTCTAGTCATCGATCAGCCGCGCACGTACGCTCCGGAAATAAGATAATGCCGTCGCTCAAAGGGCGATATATAAAACCAGCGATCGATCGACGGTGTAACGCCTTTCGTTGCTTTTAGCCGCGCGCCTCCGACTTGGTGAATTCGAGCGAGATTTTTCAATTTTCCCCAAGAGATTCAATTTAGTTTTCCACGACGCAAGATATGTTTCCCCCACGATACACGAACTCTTCGTGGCTTCACTTAGCCGTTTTCCACGCCTCTCGATCGTGGTTAATGAACAACTGGTACTGTTCGTGCGTCAAAGAATTAAGACCTTGAAAGATTTCATTGATATCACACGCGATACATTCGTTCAAAATCCAGGTATCCTTGAAATCGGCGAAAAATAACAATTCGTGCCATTCGTGCGCACGTGTGCGTGTGCAAACGTGAATCGTAACTGTACAGTCGGAGATATTGGCACGTGAAGGAGAAAGAAGTGGGGGATGAAAAACGTAGATCGGGCACACGATCTTTCGCACGGGCTCGAAGGAAGAGAAGGTGAGAGAGAGCCTCGATTCGATCGATCGACGTGATCTTAGAATGGAAAGAAAGAGAAAAATCTCCGGGCGAAGGAAAACAGACAAGCGGAACAGTGTTTTCTTCTTTTCTTCTCTTTATATTATTATATTCTATCTTCCATTCCGAGGAACGAAACGACAATCTACGCGACTATTCTCGGTTAATCGAGATCTTGGATTAGTCTTTTCACCTTTGCTCCGGATTGATATTAGTAAAAATTTTGCTCTAGAGTATTTTACAAAAGTAAAGCTGAGGATCACCTTAAAAACGATCGATTTCCAGTCAGAGGTTCACGGTATCGAAAGGGAGAAAAAAAAAAAAAGGAAAGAAAAATACAACGAAAATACACATCATCATTTCCCTTTTTCCCAGCTACTGGAACACTACGTAACACCGGATCACTTGCGAAACGTGGTCGTCGATCCGCAGACGTCGATCCGCGAATAACCACTCGTACATGTGTCTTTCCGCCCCGTATCTCCACCTTTCCCTCGCTTTCCGCTCGTTTATCTCCGTCCATTTATCTGCCTATCACTGGCGTCGTACACATGCCTCCGGTGCTACTTTAGCGAGCCTTTCGTCTGCACTTATCGATACAGATCGACTGCAGATAACAAACTCGGTTTACCAGCCGCGGAACAATAAACCGATTAATTAGCGATTCTTACATTGCGCTTCGATCATTTATTATGAAAATATCGGACGAAGCGCCGATAGAATCGATACGAATTCCCCTCTCTTTCTTCCTGCGAAATTAGTGAAACTTTGTCGAGCAAATTTTTTCACATTTGATTCAGAATATTTTCTTTCCCTCGATGTTTCGATGTTTATTTGATCAAGATTCAAAGGTGGATTCGTGGCGGAGCTCGACTATTGCGGAGCGTGCCGCGACGTGGCTGCGAGTTTTGTAGGTTAGATGTATTAGATAATGGAGGCCCGGTCTCTAGTCGCGGAACAATGGCTCGAATATAATTGATGATTCTGCTGGACGGACTCGCGTATGAATCATTAGGCGAACACCGTTTGTTCAGCCCCGGTGTTTGGCGACGGCCGCGTGAAAGTGGTGCGCCAACTTCGACGCGAATGTCAACCGCATTGTCTTTCGCGGCGTTAGGCGGTGCCCCTATCGTAATAATAATTAATATTTCACTCGCCTGTCCCATCGACACGAAACTGCCTGGGAAAACGTTTATATTTTTTCGAGTTCGAATTTCTAACAATAATGATAAAATCGCAAATTAACGCTCCGAAATCTCAATGCAATTGTAAGACAGTGTCCCATAATAATTCTAATAATCGAAATTTGGTTTCGTTTCGTATATCCTCAAAAGCGAATCGATTCACCTAGAATCTGTATCGAAACGCACTCGATATAAAACAGCGTTCCATCGTAGCTGAAAGAGGGCCAATTAACCAGACTCGTTG